ATATATATATATATATATATCATAATTATATCACCATGGTGAATATGGGGTACCAGGGTTTTGCTTTGGGGAACAGTGTCACCGGGGTGACCTCAACTAACTACATCAAGGGAAAATCTACCTGGACCTCATCTCCTCTAGATTGCCCAGGGAGTTTGCCATCTCGAGTTAGCGATTCTAATATCAATACACGTTTCCTCAGTTATTTTTGTACCATGTTGCTCATTTAAAAGATATTTAAATATAACAAGAGCAGGGGCAGGTGGGAGGGGAAGTGTTGTCTCAACCTCTGTGACACCCGAGGGAGATGGAGTGAATTGGAGGAATTTCCTTCTTTCCCATCATCCCCAGCAATGTCACTTATGGTCGGAGCAAGATAGCGTTTATCTCCTTCACGGTCTACCCCTTCACACTTTGATTTCTGTGATCCTAGAACAGACTCATCAGAGCTGGAGAGGAAAGTGTCACAGAAGTGGAAGGGGAATATGCATGGAGCCCAAACAGTGTGATCATGCAGCGTTTATATCCCAGTTTCCAAAGCCACTGCTTGGCTTTTTCCTGCCGAGTTGGGATGGCTTGAAGATGGGAAGTTTGGCTGATTTTTTTTCTCCTATTATGACGATGCTAAAACTTTAATAAATAACACACCTCCATATTTCCGAGACAACGCTGAGTGAAGCGGCTTTGAACGGGTGAGAGAAGAACTCAATGGGAGAATCTTTTGTCCTGATTCTGAGTCGTCAGATGTAACCTGATATGAAATGTCACCCTCTATGAAACAGAAAGGGTCTTACACTGATCCGAGACGTGGCTTTTTCTCTCTTTTCTGAAGGCTTTTTGGTCACACAACTGGATATTAGTTTTGTTTGACCGAATATAGCTCAGATTTTTTTGGGGGGGGCTTTGAGACAGATGGCCATTTGCTAAAATAATCATTTCTGACTATATTTTTGCTTTCCCACCAACCCTCCATGATCACAGGGAAGAGGTTTAAGTGCAGTTCAGTCAACAGCAGCGAATGCTCCAAACTATTTAACCTGCTACCTAGGAAACAGTCGTGTTTTTAAATCTCCAGCCTGAAATGGCGAAAAACAGCATATCCCAAACTGTGCAATTAACTGGATACGATCACAGTGTTTTTCAGTTGTTTTAGATCAGTTATGACTCAGATGATCCATAAAGAGAATTCCACAGGAACTGACTTGCAACTAGGCAAAATCCACATGTATTTAGGTCCCAAAGCCTTTGTGACCCAGGTCCTACAGGAGGTTACTGCTGAAGATGTCTTCTGGCTAGTCCTAGTATCTGGGAAATGGTGCCCCGAACTATGCCGCTGTGGAGGAAATGGAAGTGAGGTTCCTGCTGAGCTCATATTTTGTAGCTGCTGCTCATGCATATTAAATTCATTTAGTGTTGAATGTGAGATGGCTGTAGAAAAATAACAATTTTTGAACATCAAACCCCACCTCGGGTAACTGACAGAGATTCTGATCCAGGCTGTTATCCGGACCCGAAATTAGGTTTGTCTCACCAGATTAAAGAAAGAAACGGGGCTTGTTTGGGGTCCCCATTCTGCATGAATGCGGCTGAGATTTGCCCCAGAGAAGAGCAAATTTGCTCAGGCCCAGGATTTGGCAAGAACTCAGGTAGAAATAGCAGACCCCCAGTTGCTGTTTTTCACCCCAGGGACGGAAGCTGTTGTGAGTTATCGCTAGATCAAAACGTGTTTAGAACACCACTTGAGGAGAGGTGAATACTTCACTTGGAGTGCTACTGTCCAAAATCTCAGCCAGGGTTTCTTCTGCCTTATTCCTATTGTTACTAATCTCAGCTGAATGTGAATCTTTCCTTTTCAACAGTTGCTTTAGCTGCAAATGTAATGGCGGTATATATGCATGAAATATTGGAGTGCGTTTCTTAATTAAATCTTGATTATCTGGGTTACTAAGGATAACAGTCTCATCTTCAAAAACTGCAACTTGCATTATTATTATTATTATTTATTTTTTAAGTATTTACTCCAGGTTTTTGACTTTCAATTGGAAGTCCCTCCATAATATACATTTTCATCTACCATCTAATGTTCGACTATCCAGACTTGACAGATGACTTTGTACTTTATGGATTTTCCAAGTTGTACTATTAGTCCATGCTGTAAACAGTGTATTAGCCCATGTTTTGGTCATAAGTTGCCTCTGGATGGGTTGATAGATTTTCTTCTAATGGAACTCAGTTGATTGATGTGGTGCAATCAACTTGAGTCCTTGGTCTTGTTTCATCCATTCTCGCACTCAAATCGCAGTTGTTATTGATTATGAGCTTCAGTTGGCAAGTCTGAGTCTACTCCCAACAGAACATCCTGATCAGCCTTGATTCTCCTTGTTTTCTGTTCCACTAGAACAGTCTGTTGTTGTTCCATATGAACAGATGCAGTATTAAGGTGATAATACAGAATCAATGTTGTTAAGACATGCAGCCCCATCCCGCCACTACTGGCCTGTCTGTATCTGGTTCTTCACTTCCTCTTTTGTGAACAAAGTCTCTGAAATCTTTCTTTTCTGGTACAACTGTAATTGATTGGCATGGTAGAACAGATAAATATAATATATGGAGATATACCTATCTCAGAGCTGGAAGGGACTTTGAAAGGTCATCAAGTCCAGCCCCCTGCCTTTACTAGCAGGACCAAGTACTGATTTTGCTCTAGATCCCTAATTGGTCCCCTCAAGGATTGAACTCACAATCCTGGGTTTGCAGGCCAATGCTCAAACCACTGAGCTATCCCTCCCTCAAAAAAATTTTTATCAGCACTAGCCCCACATTGCAAAGCAAACGTGTTAATTTTTAAACTGCTGCACTATCGATGTCAGCAACAATATACAATGTGCCACACAGGCTCAAATCATCCGTTAGGCTCCAATCCTCCAATACTCTCATAATAACATTAATAATAAACCAACCAGTCATTAGCTTGCTCCATTCTGTGCTGCTGACCCTTAACATGTTCCTACAACTTGTAGGAACACGAATAGGGTGACCAGATCACCCAGGTCAAATGGCGGGACGCAGGGGGGTGGGGCAAAAAAAAAAAACCCACCCTCCTCCACAAGTGCTGCAGGAGGCCCCGGAGACGCAGTGGGAGCGCGGTGCTGTGAGTGAGAGTCCGGCCTGGCCCCGAGCAGGCAGGACTCAGTCGGGCGGTAGGGAGAGTAGGGGGGCAGCCCACGGGGCCAGGCGGCGGCTGTTCTCCCCCCCTGGGGCAGCGGGACTCGGGAGTAGCCGCTGCTGCAGCTCCCACTGCCGCGGGGAGAGGAAGCGGCCAAACTCGGCAGCTGCGGCTCTGGCGCCCGGGCCCGAACCCCCCGAGCCCGGGCCTGTTGTGGGGACCCAGCAGCGCGCACGCTGTGCCCAGCCCCTGGCCAGTCGCGTCTGGGCTGCTGCCCAGCTGCTGCAATCCCGCGGGCAGCCCTGGAGTGGGGGCAGCAGGCCCCAGCCCCCCCGTCCTGCTCGGGTCCCGCAGGGGAACGAACGGGGCTGGGCTGCCGATGCCTCCGCCCCGGGGCCGCCGCGGGATTGCACCAGCTGGGCAGCAGCCCAGACGCGACTGGCCAGGGGCTGGGCGCAGC